GAAAGGACTAGAGCCCAGCAGCAATCTCTCTCCCTGAATCTTTGCATGTGCTCTGAGAAGTTCTAAGAGAGATGGGTTTCTGACAATATGTAGATTACATGTGATCTTCCCTATGAGAGATATGGCAGTATGTGCCAGGGAGGAAGTTTTCTGCAAGATACAGAGGCAACTCGCTGTAATTTCTTTATCCGAGGCTTACATTCAGCAACATGAAGACCTCCATGTGTGGTTAAGACTCCTCCATTTGCCCAGAAGTGCCTCACCTTTACCAGGTGCTGCAGTGGCTCAGGAGGCTACACTTCATCTGGAACTAGTGTCTCTCTCTGTCTCCTGGAAGCACAACTGGCATTTTTATGGAAAACTTTTATCTCCACAGAGCAGTGTGAAAAGCTTATTGCCACTCAAGATGTGCTCTTTTGGTAGCTGAGTGCACTTCCAAGCACTAAGTGGCTAACTTTTAACTCTTTTTTTCCCCTTCCCTAAAATAAGGGAATTTGAATTCAGTATTTCTGAGCAAGCAACTGGGATTGCAAACAGCCCCCTACCCTCCGTAAAATACTTTTGCATGTAGGGAAGACATGAGCCTATAAGGACTCACTAAACATTGTCTTGTCAGGGTAATACATTTCAGTTTTCCTGCTTAACCGATTACTTCTATTAAACTATTTTTTTACTGTCAGAACTACACTAACATTACCAGAGAAAACTTGAGAGACACACTCAAGAGCTTTCCACTACCAGCCCCTTTTCAACAAGGCATAAACTCTAGATCGCCTACTGGCATCACAGATTTCTCTGGTGCAAGCAATATATAATTAATAAACAAATATGATTATCCTAGATCATCTTCAAGAAAGGAAAGAAGGAAGGAACAAAAAAGCCCAGTCTTTATGAGCTTCCCCACACCACACTTTGGATACTGAAGCAGCAGAGTTTTTTCATTGTAGGAACCTTACAGATTGGTTACATTGGTGCACTCAGCATTTGGACAGTATTTAAAATACACAACCAAAATAAAAATACACAAAATAAACTCATCTCACTTCACATTTGAATCTTATAACTGCAAATGAAAGCTATGTGTCAACACACATTTTTTTTCCAAGGAAGAGAGCTGCACCTTCCAGGCAGCTCAGATGAGCACTGCTCACCCTGCTTCCCATACCCCAGCAGCTGCTGCTGCTGCTGCCACCATCCGTACTGCTGGCTGCCGAGCTGCTTCAGGCCTGCTTCAGTCTTCTAGCCAGGAAGCTCCCTCCTTTCACACCTCCTGGTGCATCAATAGCCTATACAAGAAGCTTAAAACAGCACCACCAGTCTTCAGCATGACTTTACTCTTCTTCTCAAGGCTGGCTTATCATAATAGCACTTACCTGACTGGTAACCAGAAGTCTGTTCTTTCCATTTACATAAGACCTCAGGCAGCTATAGGCTCTGTTAAATAACTAGTTACAGCCAGATTTCAGTCACCTGTTCTTGTTACAGGTAATTTCAGCAAAGCCTCCTTTTCTGCTGCCTGCTGCCATGGTCTTCCCAGCTGAAAGCAGTGTAGGGCAGGGTGAGCTGAACTCCGTGGGTGTTTATAGAGTCATTGCAAGTGCTACAAAGTTTGTGCACTGTATCATGCAGGAAAGGAACTATTACGCTAGATACAGGTATGCTGGGCACCACTGTCCTTCATCTTCAGAAAAAGAATAAAGAGCCAAAAAGCAAATAGATGCACTTCTAAAACCACTATCATATTAGAAGTGACCACAATCAGGAGACAGGACCAACACTCTTTCTCCCTCTTTTGCTCATTAAGCAAATACTTATTACCCATTTTTCTGAATAGAGCTAAAAGTTTTATTGATTTCAAGATTATCTTTTCTTCATCCATGTGCAACAGCGTACACTGTAAGCACTCTTGCTCCTCATGGCATCCTGTAGACTGGACTCTTCCCACTAAAAAGCTCTTCTGGAGGCTCATTTCTTCCAGGGCTTACAGAACACCTGCAGCAGCCTGAGGCACGCTCATCTCCCCGCTGTGCCTAGCTAACCATGGTCAGCCACAACTGCAGCCCACTGTCAGAAGCGGCCTTGCCTCTGAGAGACTCTGCTGAGTGCAGCTTCACTGGTTCCTGGAGTCCAGACAGCTGAGGGACGGGTCTCAGGCTGCTTCCTGTTCTCCCTCAGCTGGCAGTGAGCCTTCTCCATGTGCTGGCCACAGCTGATGGCCCTGCCCAGGGATGTCACTAATTGCAGGGCTGAGGCATCTTCCTTGGGGAGTGTAGGGTCGGTCATATGTGCTGTGGTTGTAAGGGTACAGTACAGTGGAGGCTGAGTTTTATTATAAATAAAATAAGACCTTTGTTTGGACACTGTTGTAATTCAGGTTCCCCTTGAGAAGCAAAACCTGCTCAGCAGCTGATACAGTCTGAAAATAGATGAGCTCTCAATGCAGCAAGCGGAGTCTCCTTTCACTGATAGCCAGAATTAGCACTGGGGATATGTGTTTTTTCCAGCTAAAAGTTACATTGTTGGGGAAAAGCCGACTGGGATTTTCAGCTGAAAAATCTGAAAATTTAAGGAAAGCTGATGTTTGGTGATAGAGTTGTAATTCAAGACATTTGCTTGGCTCTTCAGTTTAGCTCTCTGAATTATACTTTTCCTTCTGCTTTTCTGTCTGTCTGGATGGACACCATGTGACACCAAACAAGCCTCAAAACAGACACTGATTAATATGCAGAGGCCGGTGCATGTAACAAGCTGAGCCCTGGCTTATGTCAGTGACTTCAAGGTGGAACTGGGACTCTCTTTGTTCTTTAGCCCAATATATGCACAGAGCTGATGCAGGCCTAGAACACAGGAATGACCACACTACGACCAAGAACATTTATTTCCATATTTAGTCTGATTACTTACCCCTTATGCTTCACAGAACTTTGTCCATGAAAACAGATTGAGTTGTTTCACAGTGAATTTTAGCTTTTCTTCCTGGCTCAATCGCAAACTCATGCTGCTTTTGTTCTGCTCTCCGGTGGGGACGAAATTTTCCCATCCAAATTAATTCATCTGCATTTTAATTCATAAAATTATTTCAGAAAACAAGTTTGGTCAAAGTGTTAATTTAAGCCCACATTCTGTGCTGAAAATATCGAGTTGTCTATGCTTGATATATCCATAGAAACCTTCTCCCATATGCCAGTCTTCTCATAGAAAGATTCTTCCCCACAATCTAGTAAGAGTTGTCCTGCATGATAGTGGCAGACTTCCCCATTTGTGCAAGTTTTAGTATGCTTTCAGATAACTTGGAAGAATTTATAAAAAAAATTAGTGTCAAAGTTATTAAATGAACAGTGGGTGTATAGGTGAGATGCATCTGGCCTCCTGCCCTGCTGGTCTGCCTGTCTGTTCACCAGCAGGCTACCCTCACCCTGGTACTTGCACGTGCTGGAATCGGTTGGTAAGGCTGGTAACATCTCTGCCCAGTGTCCAGGCCACTCCTACAAATTATCTGTCTCCTCGAGGCTCTGGAAAAGTTATTTAGCTAAAGTGGGAATTACAGACCTTTTTTTCTGGGGTACTAGGTACTACTAACTATACCAAAGAGTATGAGAGACCCAGGGACAAGTGTTAGCAAGAGCCTTGAGTGCACCCAGACAGACCAGAAGAAAAAAGCCCTGTTCTGTCAGATCCCCTGCAAGATGTGGTGGGGAAAGGGACATGGGGGCCTCTATCACGTTATTTACAAATCAGGAGCCATGACCTGAGAGGCAAACAATGGGAGATGGGGGAGACAAAACTCATCCAATACATTTCTCTTGCTGATATAACACCCTTTTCACACTTCTCCTTTTTTCAGCCAGACTTCCTACAAAAACAAAACTTGATCATGTCTGCTCATCTTCATTTCCCTGCATCCCCTTCTCCCCTTGTGACCTGAATGATCAATTAAAATCAAATCTGACGTCTGATCTGAAAGACTAAGATCCCCAGAAGCTGGAAGAAAAATCACCAACTGAGGAGATATGTTCAAGCAGCACCTGCACTGACCAAGCAAAGGCAACTTGCACATAGAATCTTAGAATCATAGAATTCTAGAATCATAGAATGGCTTGGAAAGGACCTTGGAGATCGTCAAGTTCCAACCCCCCTGCCATGGGCAGGGACACCCTCCACTGGACCAGGTTGCTCAAAGCCTCATCCAGCCTGGCCTTGAACACCTCCAGGGATGGGACATCCACAGCTTCTCTGGGCAACCTGTTCCAGTGCCTCACCACCCTCACAGTGAAAAATTTCTTCCTAATGTCTAGTCTAAATCTGACCTCTTTCAGCTTATACCCATAACCCCTTGTCCTGTCACTACACTCCCTGATAAAGAGTGCCTCCCCATCCCTCCTGTAGGTCCCCTTCAGGTACTGGAAGGCTGCTATTAAGTCTCCTCGGAGCCTCCTCTTCTCCAGGCTGAACAACCCCAACTCTCTCAGCCTGTCCTCATACAGGAGGTGCTCCAGCCCTCTGACCAATTTCGTGGCTCTCCTCTGGACTCTCTCCAACAGGTCCAGTTCTTTCTTATGTTGGGGGCCCCACAGCTGAACACAGTACTCCAGGTGGGGTCTCACGAGAGCAGAGTAGAGGGGGAGAATCCCCTCCTTCGACCTGCTGCTAATGCTTCTTTTGATGCAGCCCAGGAACGGTTGGCTTTCTGGGCTGCAAGCACAAGTTGCCAGCTCACACTGAGCTTCTCATCAACTAATACCCCCAAGTCCTTCTCCTCAGGGCTGCTCTCAAGCCATAGCAACATGTGTCCTGCTGCACATCTGTCTGGGCACTGAGCACCCAGGGCCCTCAGTCCAGGCATAGCACCTACTGCCTCCTGCCTGTGTGAGAGCAGGAGGACACAGGCAGAAAAAGGGGGTGTAAGAGAGGTGGTAACAGTACAAGGAAGCCAAATTATAGGAAACCTGGTGTCCCTAGCTCTGCTGGGCACTGAGAAATTTGTCTGGTTTTTATTCCAGGTCAACCAGAGACAACATGCCATGCATTTGCTGGAGAAACCGTAATTTTGCCATGCACCACTACTTCTCCTGGAGAGCTGATCCTTTCCAAATCAATGCTCTACTGGCAGATAGACTCTGTCTTAGTGCACTTTTTTCACAACGGGCAGGATTCACTGGATTCCCAGGACAAACATTACCATGGCAGAACCAGTCTTTTTTTGGACCAGGTGAAGCATGGCAACTTTTCCTTAAGGCTCTCCAATGTCCAGTTACAGGATGCAGCTGTATATACTTGCATCTACAAACAGTCTGGGGATCATCCCAACGAAACACAGAAATCTAAAATTAAACTCATTGTGTCAGGTAAGTATTTTTTTCATTCAGAGGGAGGGAGTTGAGGGCAGCATTTATTGCTGAGAAGCTATATATGGCCATCGATTGGGATGACTTCAATTTTTAAAGCAGTTTTACTCTGCTCCTCGCTTTTGGTGGAAGAATAAGAAGTGAGAAGGAAAAACTTCTGAAGGCAAGCTGCCTGCCTCTTCCCTCTCCCTTTGCAGAAGACATTAATGAATATTGTCTCCCCAACTTTTAAGTGTTTGGTTATTTATGTTTTTGTACTGTTCTGGATCCACTTTGTCCCAAAGGAACAGAAGAGTTTACTGCATTGTTTGCACTGGAGTCTGTGAAGGAGGATTAGGTTCATCTTTGGCAATGGGATCGAAAGTCCATGCTGTATACCCTTTCAGATGAAACACAGGCAGTTGCTAATTACCTTTTCCCTTGCGGCTGGTGGCAAGGCTAAACACATGCAACAAGAATTATTAGTTTTCTACCTTAGGAAAATGAGTGAGACCATAACACATAATTGAATAATGCCAAACAGCTGAGCTAATGTGTTTAAATTACCTGCAAGCATGGCCAGGAGAATGATGGAGCTTTGGGCTTGAGCAGCTGACTAACTGAAAAAGCAAATTTAAAAAAAAAAAAAAAGAGGGGGAGGGGATACAGATCAAAACAAATAATTTTTTTAAAGTGTCTTGCTTTAATATATCATCTGGAAACTTTCATTATGGTCAACCACACAGATTTCATTCAGCTTAAAACAGAAAAAAAGTTATTTTCAAGTAATATAAACCCTTTAATAGCTTTGTTCTAATGCACATCATTCTCAAGAGAAAAACATTTTTTTAAGTGCAAAGTGAAATGTCCAGAAAACTTGGAATAAAACTGTTTTGCAGTTTTCAAAATGAAAAAAAAAAAAAAAAGGTTTTGCAAATGCAGAATCAAAATCATCAATGCAGATGATGCAGAATCAATGCATCATCTCATTTTTGGGAGCAGTAAAGTATCTTTGTTTTAGTTCTGTGAGCATATGTAAACTTTCAATTTGTTTGACAAATGTATTCTTTCTCAGAAAAAAAAACCCACTAACCTTTAGGTCAATTATCAGTACCCTTTTTCTGTTCTAGGCTTAAAGAAATAACTTTGATTATTCTGGATTTTTTTCCAGCTCCATCTAGCACTGAGGAGGCACCGTCCCCTTCTGGTAAGGCAACACTGCTTAACCTGCTAAGTGGCTAAGTGATTAACTACTGCTTTAATTTGAATTTGCAAGATTGGTAAAATGTTCTGAATAGAGAAAGTCCAATAGACTTATGGTACTTGTTCTCTCTTGCTAAGTCTAGCAAAATATAGCTGTCCCAGACAGGGAAAAATATCTCCACCCCTAAGGCAGACCTAGACCGCAGAAAGAAGAATACTGCACTGCAAGCAGTCACTAGTCCATAAAGCTACTCACCATTATGGGCATTATAAAAATCAATAAAAAACCAAGTTACATGGAAGCCATTTGATTCCAGGAGTTAAGGCCTTTGTAAATTATCTTGGTATGAATGAACTGCCAGATCAAGAGATTAGGGACATACTTTTGGGTAAATAAGGTAATAAATATTCTAAAAATATCTCATTAGTGATTCCACATAAGCTCTTCTGGGAAAATTAAAGCAGATCTCATCCAAAGGCAATTCTGAAGTACAGTGCAGATGCTAATGTCTAGGTTTAAACATTACAGAGAAGTAACTACATTAGGGTCATTTGTAAACACTTCCTGAGCGAATGCAATACAGAAGGGCTGTCCAGCTCTGACATGCCACCATCGGTAAATTCTCCTGTAAAAACCCTGCTTGTAAGCTAAATTATTCTTACTAGCTCTATATAAAACCTGTAACATTTTGTCATATAAATATCAATTTGTATTTTACTCAGTGTAGCTGAAAGATACATTCCATTGCATAGCAATGATTATATTACAGCTAACAATAAATTCAGAAACAATATGATGTTAGAGCCAGATTAAGCAGCAATAAACTCCAACAGAAACTAAGGAAGAGCAATGTTCTAGTGTTTTATCTCATGACCACAGAGAAAAAATCAGGTCTGTACTTCATGAGCAATAAACAACTTGAAAAATTACGGGAAATATCCTCTTTAGACCTAAGGTAGCTCCTCTAGCTGGCTTAAAGGTCTTTAAAATACATGAAGTTAAATCCAATACAGTATCACATGCCTTGAGTGACACCGCACCACATTATTATAACACTATAAAAGCAAACACAACAGGAGCTAGAATATCTCTAGCTATTACCTTCCACAAGAAATAAGAAATTATCAAGGTCTAAACTTTTTAATGCAGTAGCAATGGAAGTTTCTCAAAACCAAAAGGTAAGTAGGCTGTATTTAAAGGACACAGTTGTACATATGTTTGACTCAGCTGAAAACTTTCTGACAACTACTTTTGCCTGATGTAAACTATTTCTTATCATGAAAAAGTACTGTCACTGAAAAGAAAAAAAAAAAGTGACTGGGACAAGGTGGAGTGTTTCAACTTTGCTATAGGAGAACAAACAGAATCACACACTTCAGACACCTGAAGGTTCTGGTACTGCTGGATTTTGGGGAGCTTGGGGATGAAGGAAAGAACAAAAGCCTACTTTTTGAAACATATTTTTTTGCAAAAAGGAAAATAGATTTCCTGTTGTCAACTTATTTTAAAGAAAATTATCAGCCGCAGCTCCCTTTTTCTTTATTTTCAGTAATTTCTTAAGAAAGGAAGAGAATCTGTTTTGTATTAGTTGTTATTTTGGAAGGAACTTAGAATAAGTTAAACGACCTGCTGAGAACAAAGACACTGTGTGCAGAAATAGTTCTCATACTTTGCAGTCATCATAACCAGATCAACAGATATTTAGTATTTTTATATAAAACAGAAACAGTTTTGATCTGTTTCACTTGTGCTTAATTTCTGTTTGTTGATTTGCTGGATTGATTATTTTTCATGACTACGTTAAAGAGCCTAATTTTACTGTCACTCTGGGTTTCTTGCAAGGCTCCTTCTGGGTCAATCAAAACTTGTTTTAAGTTATTTTTCTGGGAAAAATGAAACCATCTGTGTCCTAGACTTTTAAATACTTATTACCATTATTTACAGACTCTTAATCTCAATGCCTACCTCAGGCCCCACCTAGGTAGAACGATAATGTATTTTTCACTTTTTTAGTTGTTGTTCTATTGGTATTTTAAACAAGTATTCTCAGTCATCCAGAAAATGAAGTTATATTCATTCTTACCGAGTGTCTGTCCCTTTTCTATGAAGGAGGAAAAATTATTTGTCACACTACCTTGAGACTGGTTTTTCTGGATGCTACACACACACACAAAAAAAAAGGAAAATTTTGAAAATGAGTAAAAATCCACGATTTTACAAACAATTTTCCATCAATGCATTAATGTAAAAGATACCACACAAAATTCAAATACACTTCTTGTCAAGCCATCAGTTACATGCTGACTTTCTTTTTTTTTCATTTTTCAGGACACAGTCAGATTTCCTTCAGAAGCTCTGCTGATGTGCCATGTCTGGCTACGCTTCCCCTCTCTTTCTACCTCCTGGTCACACTAGGGGTTTGGTACTTGTAACTGGGGAAGCTGACCTTCTCTTTGGGAAGTTCTCACCAGAGGACCTTGCTGGGCAGAACAGCTCTGTAGGGTTACCATGACAACTGTTCCAGAGCCATGTGAAAGAAACACCAATAGCTCGAAGCACCAGGTGTTTATGGCCTGCATTTTGGTGTTCCACAAAACCAACTCAGCAAAACTCATAGGTGGCAAGTCTGCTTTTCCATTTGTTTCTTGAAGCCCAGTTTTAGTGCTGCTGGTATGAACATTTTATTTTGGATTTTACTTTAATGACAGGCCAGCACCCACCTCACTACACCCTCCTTTTAGGTAGCTGCAGAGAGTGACAAGGTCTCTTCTCAACCTCCTCTTCTCCAGACTAAACAACCCCAGTTCCCTCAGCCGCTCCTCATAAGACCTGTGCTCCAGACCCTTCACCAGCTCTTCTCTGGACCTGCTCCAGCACCTCAATGTCCTTCTTGTGGTGACGGGCCCAAAACTGAACACAGGATTCAAGGTGCGGCCTCTCCAGTGCCGAGTACAGGGGCACAATCACTTCCCTAGTCCTGCTGGCCACACTATTGCTGATGCAGGCCAGGATGCCGTTGGCCTTCTTGGCCACCTGGGCACACTGCTGGCTCATGTTCAGCCGACTGTTGACCAACACCCCCAGGTCCCTCTCTGCTGGGCAGCTTTCCAGCCACTCTCCCCCAAGCGTTGCAGGGGGTTGTTGTGACCAAAGTGCAGGACCCAGCACTTGGCTTTATTGAGCCTCATACAATTGGCCTCAGCCCATCAGTTTCCTTCCATGAAGGAAATCCAGATGAAAAATGAATGGACAAGTTCTTCTCAATATGAGGACCTGCATTATTTATGGTTACCTGGTACGCTATTCTGACTCTCACTGTTCAAGCAGCGATTACTGCTGGATATGGGGGAGCTGAACAACCTGGAAGTCCCGGCAGGAGCTACGCCAGCTTGTTTGGCTTTGCCACCTCTTACTGACACTTGTAAGTCAGCAGCCCTGCTTGCTCACAGACTTCTCAGAAAGCTGTAGCGCCCATCCAGCTCTCTTTAGTCAGCAGTGAAGTACAACTCTTGCCAGATCCACCTTCCCTTATGCCAGAACCAGCCACCAGATAGTGCAGAAGCCAGCCCAGCCCAGCCTGCCTGGAAAGCCAGGGCTGAGCAGCTGGCTGGCACGGCCCCTCAGGCAGCCCCAGTGGTCAGGGGCAGCCCCAGCGGACAAGGGTCATTCCCAAAGCCCAAGCTGCTGAACAAAGCTCCGCCACCAGGAAGGCTTCTTTTAAAAACAAACATAAACCATAACATCTCAGAAAAGAACCTTTTTGCATTTACGGAATTCCATTAGACTCGTTGGCAAAGCTCCCACTAATTGCAGCATGGTGCCAGAATTTTACTCTTGCTATTTTAAGTCAGAAGCAAATAATGAACAGGCTGCCCAGGGAAGTGGTGGAATCACCATCCCTGGAGGTGTTCAAGAAATGTGTAGATGTGGTGCTTAGGGACATGGTTTAGTGGGTTAGGTGGTGTGGGCTGACGGTTGGACTTGATGGTGCTTGAGGTCTTTTCCAACCTTAATGATTCTACGATTCTATGACAGGATAAAAGACTCACAAAACTACAAGGTCACATTATAATTGACCCTAGTGAGATCTTTTGCCTAAAATCTCATCTGCTGTCCTTCCAGAGAATTGAAAGGAGAAGAAGGGGTAATTGCCC